TTGCCTCCCTCCCTTCCCTCCTTCCCTCCCTCCTTCCCTCCGTCCTTCTTGTGTTTTGCCCTTGGTGACACCAGGGTTAGGCACCTCCATCTCCATCCTCACCATTCCTGGCCCTGAACCATCCCGGGACACATCCATGGGGTGGGAACCCTCCAGAACCACTTCCCGGTGTCCCAATCCCACCCCGTGTCCCACAGCTCTACCTCGGCGGCTTGCGGGAGGCGGGTGAAACCCGGGACGAGGTTCCCACACGGAACGGGGATGGACTCCAGCAGGTACCTCCAATCCCGACCACCACCCGTGGTGGGCTGTGTCCCCTCACGTCCCAGCAGCTCCCCCATTCCCGTGTCCCCGTAGGTCAACGCCGGCAGCTCTGACGCCATCGCTGTCCACGCCCTCGGCGTGCTCACGGCCATCATGAGCAACTCACCCTCGGCCAAGGTGGGCAGGGGACCTCCCCTGAGGAGGACACCCCAAAACCGGAGGGATTTGGGTGTTTTCATCCACATTGAGGTGGCTCAGCCCGAGGTGGGGCCCAGCTGGAATTCCACTGTGCTTCCAGGAGGTGTTCAAGGAGCGCATCGGCTATGCCCACCTCTACGAGGTGCTGAGGAGCCAGGGCCAGCCCACCCAGCGTCTGCTCCAGGAGCTCCTCAACATGGTGAGCGTTCCCGCTCTTCCCGACTCCGGGCAAAGCTCTGGGCACTGGGGGTTCCTGCGGATCTCAGCCCCCCCATCCTCTCCACTCTGCTGGTTTCTCAGCAGCTTCCTCCAGAGGGGTCCTGGGGCCATCTTTCCCCTGGAGTTGTGCTTGGGTTTGGGAGTTTTGAGGCCTTTTGGATGTGGAACTGCTCACTCTGGTGCTGCTGGACACAGGAGGGTCTCCAAGGTGCTTCATGCATGAGGGTCTCCGAGATCCTGGAGTCGTGGAGGCCTCCAAGACACTTAATTCACAGGGATTCTTAACGCTCCAAGATTCTGGACGCGCAAGAATCTTCGGGATGCTTGGTGCATGAGGGCCTCCAAGATCCTTGATAATACATGGAGGTCTCCAAGATCCTTGGGGTCCCCAAAATTCTGGATGCACCAAAACTGTCAGTGCATGGGAGTCTCCAAGATCTTTAATCATTGAGGATCTCCAAGATCCTTTGATGCATGGAGGTACCTGAGATTCTTGGTGCATGGAGCCTCCAGAATTCTTCATGCACAGGACCTCCAAAGTGTTCGATGCACAAGGGTCTCTGACACCCTTGATGCACCGGGGTCTCCAAGATCCCTGATGTCTGGAGTCTCCAAATTCTGGATGCATGGGAGTCTCCAGGATTCCGGATGCACAAGGGTCTACGCGGGGTCTCTGCCGGGATGGATCCATCCAGCTCCAAGCACTGGAGCTGCACCGACGCCTTCCTGTGTCCCTGCAGGCAGTGGAGGGTGACCACAGCTCCTTCCCAGTGCGTCCCATCCGCAACGAGCAGCCCCTGCTGATCCTGCTGGCCTGGCTGCCGGCGCTGGAATGCCGGGATCTCCAGGTGTTCCTGTCGGCGTGGCTGCGGCGCCTCTGCGAGGCCTCCCTGCCCAGCCGCCTCACCTGCGTCAAGGCGGGCATGGTGGGCTCCCTGCTGGGCGCCCTGG